CAGGGGCAAGGTCTCAGCTGGGGGACGGTGCCTCTTTGGGTGCTAACGCTTCGAGATGGAAACTGTCCGGTGAGAGGCCAGGGAGAAGACAGGGAACATCCCTGTGGATAAAGCAGGGACACAGAGCCCCAGCGCTTCCAGTGACCAGCCCACGACTCCTGGCAGACCATGGCCGTGTTGACTGGATGCAGCTTTTGGAGCATCTTTTCCTAGTGGATCAGCAATTTCGACTACTGGAGTTTTGCCCAGAGCTGGGGCTTTTTGGGGCAATATCCAAGCTCCCGAGAGTGAGGTTTGTGCAGCACTCCTGAAGGGTGCTTTTTTGTCCCCCTCCTCTTCTTTTTTTTTGAGGATTGGTCTTTAAAATCACACCTGCTAGAGAGCACAGCTGGGATGTTCCTACCTGTCTACACTTCCTTGATGCTCTCACATCATATCCCCTCTCCAAGCAAATAGAGATGGCATTTTTTTATATATATGTAATGTCAACACATTTCCCTGTCTTCTCACGATACCTTCGGAATATGTTAACTAGCGTGCTCTCCCTTTAGTCCTAAAACATTAAACTAACACGAGTAGCTTTAACAGGTATATTACAAATTAGAAAGGTAGAACTCCATGCAACTCTGCAAAGCAGTGGTAACAATTCATCTCTTAAAAATAAATAAATCTGAAGTCAATTCTAACTTGCAGGATGTGAGCCTAAGAACTCTTTGCTATCTTAAAACTGTCACCTGTTAATCTCTTGAGAAAACAAGACAAATATGTTTGATTGCTATGTAAAACAAAGTGCGCATTTTGTATTCTCTGTAGAAGTATTTGAGAAAAGGTTTCAAATGCAAGACTAGGAAGCCAAAAGGATTATAGTTACCTTAATGATGTATTACAAGAAAATATGTAAAAAAATAACTCACTCTTTGTGTGGCTCTTGTGTTTTCCATGGCTCTACTGAGTCACTGAGAAATTTCCATTAATATTAGCCTCTATGCTTAAAGAAATTTATTTATCCGCAAATCCATGCTAAATATTTATATTTGCTGAAGCCACCAGGGATTAAATTCATTCTTTGGCGATGTTTGGCTAAGAGATGAACCAGTCCAGGCCTGTGCATTATTATTTGCATAACTTTAGCAGAATATTGAGCTCGCCGCAGAAGCCTTGCCTGTTTAGGAGGCCTGTTGTACATCACCAAGCTTTCAGTAGATGTGTGCAAATCCAGGGGAACTAGTCCTGATTACTGCATAATACTCTAAAGCACAGCTCCATAAATCCATTAAAAACCAAAGCTAAAAGAATAAACATTATAGGTACATGGCAAGAACCCATTGTTTTAAGTTAATGGATGAGATTGGTTCTAACTGACCTAGCTGGATCGGTACCTTGTGAGGAATGACGATTTGGGGCAGCCTCTGTCTATTTCCTGCGAGGTGCTTTGGGCTTGGTTTACAGCTGTGCTCCCAGTCCCACTCACAAGGAGACGGCAGTGCAGTAGTTTGCTCCCTGAAAAATAAAGTCTCATTTAAGTCCAGCATAACTTCCAGTGAATGACTGTGAAGCCTGGAACCAATGAAAGCTTTAAGAAAAAAATTACATGTAAATCTCTGATTAGCCCAGTGTGCTTCAGCTTTTCTGGCAGACTAGCAGAAACAGTGTTTAAATGCTTACAGGAGATATCCAGCAACGTTTACTCTGGCAGCAGCCTAGCAGTAACTTTGGGACAAGCACCCGCCCTCAGCAGGCATCCAGCAGGACGGCACACCAGGGAACAGCGCGTTTTTGTAGCTGCATGAGATGTACACAGGAAGTATGCTTATCTTCCACTTGTGGCACCAGCCTTTTCCCCAAGACATTCTACAGTTTTTTTAGTTGTAATTTGGCCTCACTCTTGCATTACTCAGTTAAAACACGATTGTGCAAAGTTAAACTAGTTTAACTCTTTCCTGAAGCGTATCCTCAATAAATAAGAGCAACCGGATACATGGTTGTGTCTCTCTGGTTGTGTCAGTAGGGAAGTCCACAGCTCCAGGAGCCAGGTGATACAAAAGAACCATTTCCCAGCACCGTTTTCCACCCCTTCCCTGAGGAAGGGCTGGGCAGGCCCCAGCTGCATCTCCTGCGCAGGCAGCACAAGAACTTCCAAGCAGCTCTGAGCAGCTCCTCCTCTGCCCCATCCCTCGTTGCTGCCTCCTGCTGCTCTCCTGCTAGGAGGATGGAAAAACCAACGGTTTAGCCAGGCTGAAGGAAGAATTTCTGATGGAAGGAGATACAGAAGCATTTTTTCTTTCCCTCCCCCCTCCCTTTATTTTTTTTAAACCACTCCAATCATATCTCTCAACTTCCCTCAAAAAGCATCTTTTCAAAGGAATAAGATCATCTTCGAGTGAGACCTGATGATCTTGTCTGTATTTGTAGCAGATTTTACAGCCTTTTACTCCTCGATTTATATCTATTTCTGCTTGACAACTCAGAGATACTTCTAGCAAGCAGGAGAGTCCTGAGAAAGGTAATAAAAGAATTATATACCCGCTTTTCTTTGAGTACAATGATAAGAAGGTCCCAGCTTCAGAAAAGGAGGTTCTAAAGTTCTAAGGTATTAAAAAATCATTCAGTCTCAGATGAGATTCTTAAATAATCATAAATGCAAGTCATTAATTTGCTTATTCCCATTGTATAGATCGGAATCTGCAGCTGCAGCTGCAAACAGACCGGTACTCTTTGCTTCAAATGATGGCTCATTTTGTGACAACTGTTACCTGCCAACCTCTAGTACTCAGAAAGAACCAACACAAGGATATAAGGGATCCCTAATGAAGATCAATGACAAAAACGTTTTGGCTTTTGTTGAATGGCCAGAATTGCAAGCCTAACTCAAATATATTTTAAGCAGTTAATATTCAAAGCAAGTACAACAATTCCACACTTTCAACCTTTCCATGAAAAGAGGGAAATGCCTGATCAAAAACACTGGAAATGAAAGCAAGTACTAACAGGGTAGTATATTTTTCATTTGGCTATTGACTAGTACTCACTACTAGATGAAAGCTAATCATTCAGACTTTTAAGTTATAAAGCAAAAAAGAATGGATGCTAAAGTTAATATGTGCCATTTTTAAATGGTGTGTTTTGAATTGTGCCATAGCCAAACAGAGCAGCTTGAAGCACAAAGAGAAGTTCTGCAAGAATGTGCCGTTGCATTCCAGCACAGCTCCTCCAAGGATCAAAAGCCCTCATGTAACTCTTAATCAACACATAAAGAGTGGCTGCAAATTCTGAGAGATTGGCATGCAGATAACTCACATCAAACAATCAAAGGAAGTCACAGTCAAGGGAACACGGGAAAGTGGTGCTAAATGCATTGTACGAAGGACACCTTTAAATGAGCTCCTTTTAACAACAGAAAGAGAGCCAGAAGGCACTCTTCAATGCAACACCAGGCCCTCAGGATCAACCCGAGGAATTTTTGCTTCAGTAAGACGGTGGGAACTGTTGGCAACTATTTTCTTGTCCTTTAGGTGGTGCAACTAAAAATCATATGGGTGCTTTGACTTTGTGTTACTGTTGCTACCACCACAAGTGGAGGGACTCTTGCAGAAAGATTATGAACAAAATCAGAGTTCAGCCAGCCACATTTTTTTATTCTGAGCTTTTGTTTGAAAGCTTTCTCACACTAAATCAATCAGACCCAGAAAACATATTTAGTCTGTGGTTTTGAACACGTTTCTCAGATTCTATGTTCCTCTGCCACATCTTAACAAGAAGCACAAGATTCTGACACAGTACAAGAGCAGGAGGGAGGAGGAAGGCTATAGAGATGGACATCCATCCGCTGGTGTTATGTAATCACAGGGAGCAGATAGAAGCAAAGGACAACCCTTCTTCACAGGTGCACACTCTGTGAGCACAGGAGCGAAACAGAATGCTCTTAATTTCATAGTTTGAACATTTGACAATCTTAATTGATACTAATTTAATTACTAAATCTCTCCTCTGACAGCAGTATTCCTAAGGAATAAGTGGAACTCTTGCTTTCTAGCAGAAAAGTGGCATACACAAAAGTGTTTTACTTTTCCACTTTAAGAAGCTGCTGATTCTCCCATAGTTAAGAATTTAAATACATATATTCTAACAAAGTGGGAGGAAACCTACACATACACACACACGCACCCCAAGAATAAGCAATGAATACAAAATAACTATTTCATTTTCTTCCCAGTATGTATGCACCTGTTTATCTCTTGTTCTTAAACAAACTTCTAATTTAGAAATTACACTTCCTTCTAATTATCCTGCTAGCAAGAACAGTAAATGCAAAAACATCTCTAATGAAACCACAGAGTTTAACTACAGCCGAGGAAGATAAACTGCTTGGAAAGTACATAAAAGATTACTTGTTTGTACAAATGACTCTCCCCTTCTCTTGTAGAAGAACATATCAAATGTTCCAAGGCTAGCATGGGTTTTCCCACAGTTACTTATTTATCTCTTTTGTAACTTACCTGGGACGTTGCCAGAGGTTTGCATGTCTACCCTCAGGAAGCAGTTCCCTTTTGTTCAGGGGTGTAATACCAATTGCTGCTTCTAAAATAGTTATGTATTTCTTGTACCGCATTCTGCGTCTCTCAGGAGCTCCACTACCTTAAGCTGTCATCCAAACGCAGTCATGCTTCTCCACTATAGGAGCTTGTGCTTTTCGAAATGCTCTGCAGGTTTCAAGCATAAAAACAGCGCCTTCCTCCCTCTACCAGGCATGGAGAGTTAGCAGGAGAGAAAAGCCAAGAGAAAACTCCTACCAGATTCCCCTGAAACGTCATTGTTACATAATTTGATCTTTGAATAAGACACTAATGAAAATGATTGAAGAGACAATCACGGGCCTAAGCCTGGCCGGATAATGCACACTCTCCAATTTACTAATCCTTGGCTAAATCTCTGCTGTTTATAATCTTCCAAGTACTAATGGAGCACTAGGTAACTTCTCTCTCAAATCAGCTGAAGGAATCAGATCTGCAGAGTAAAGTTGAGAATTTTTTGCATACTCCAAAAGATAATAATAGCTTTTGCTTCAACTGTTCTCCTCAGCACCAGGATTTATCCGTGATCCGATCAGAAGGGACATGGCGAAACATTGCACAGAATTAAGCAAGCTAAAGATTCCGTCATGATACCGACTAGTCATACAAACGTGCCTCACACAATGCCAGAAGCCTCTTTCTGTGTCAAAATTGTTCCAGCCATGAGGTAAATAACTGCACGCCAATGACCCCCGGTCCTAACCGCAAGCATGAAGACAGATGTACGAGCTGAAATAATAGTGACTTTTAGATATGCTGCAGCGCTGCCAAACTACAGTATTAAGAGTCTTGCTTAACTGCAAGAAGCCTAACAAAGTAAGTGGCAATGCTATATACATGCTGACACACTGCTTGTATATAATTTTATATATCACTATTTATAATATTTTACAGATGCATTTTATATAAAAATGCATAAAGAATAGATGTGACAAAGTATTTCTCCCAAAGACTTAGTCACAAACCCCCTCTGCAAACTGTACATTTTAGGTATTGCTTGAATATTGAAATGCCTGTATTTCTGTTGTGGTGACTCTGTGTATAATATCATACATTTGGTCACTTCTAAGTGGAAATCGCAGCTTCTAAACTTATGTGTGAAATTTCCAGCTTGACACAATGCATTTTTCTATAGTTATTGTCAGGTACTGTGTTACTTGCTCTTCTGTATTTCTTATACCCTACCTGCTGCTCAATATTAAGTTGAATTTGTAGCACACACAAGATCCGTACACACCGAACCACCCCAGGTGAATTATTAAATGTCAGTCTACTCGAATGATCTTAAAACAGTAATAAAAAGACATAATCAGTCTATGGGTCCAGGAAGTAAAACTACAAATAACAGAAAGAAATATCCTGTTTACACCTATGCAGCTGTATGTCATGGATATGCAAAGAATACATAGTCTGAAAATTTGAGTCATATTAAGGAAAGCACCTAATATGCTAAAAACATATGAATTAAGTGAAGCTATTACTTTTGCAGAGCGCCCACTGGATTGCAAATTTAAACGTTGCTATACAAAGTATTAAGAAGCTCAGGAAAGTGCCATGTTAGGAAAAGACTGCAAGTGCAGCTAATGTCATCAGGCCTACAACACCCTGACTTTTGATAGCTTTTGCACCTGCTTTGCTCAGGCCACACTGTTTTATTTTTCCTTGCAAACACTTCTCCAAAAGCACACTGTTAAAAAAAATATGAAAATAAAAAAATAAGTGCAAAAATGTTTTAGTGCAGCTCTGATTAATCTGCTCTTTCTTCAAGCAAGGGCAGTTTTGATGTGAAGAGAAGCCCCATGACCAGCTGCATACAGAGAGCTCACAAACAAACCGATCCCGTTAGTACCACTCACTCCCTCCTCTTGGCTCAACTGCTCATGAATCTTCAGATGTCCAGAGGGAGTTAGACTGACTCACAGGTTATCA